GTATAGTGTTTTGATACATTTTATAATCATTTTTCTGAATTCCTTCTCAGGCATTTCCAAAGCCTGCCCATCTTCCAGTATGGAGTATAGGTCTACTTCTAGTTCATTTGCCTCAGTCACTTTATCTCAATCCTGGACATGTGCTAATATGGTAATCTGTTTCTGTGTTTTGCGCATATTCAGGAGTTATCTGTAGCCTTAATACTTAGATGGGTGTGTGTTTTGGTATTTTTTTATGCTTTCTGATTGCCTCCAGGTAGATGTGATCAGGAGATGGGCTTCTCTTTTCACTTTTCTTCCTGATAAATTTCAAGATGTCACTGTTGGTCATTGTGACGTAACTCAGGACTTAATTTTGGTCCTATTTCCTTTTTAGTCTGCCTTTCCCACTCCATAGTTCCCGTTCAGGTCTTTTTCCTACAGATAAACAGTTCAGGGCCGGCTGTGGCCGTTTTGCATTGCTGTTTGTTTTTAAGTGGCAACTGTCACTTTAAATTTCAAGGAGACAGTGCGCATGCGTAGTAGAGCCCTCCAGGGGTGGGGGTGGGTTGTCCACTTGCTCTGGCACCTCCTCTAGTTACCAGAATGGAGGTGCACAGACAGCAAGAGACCAATGAACAGATACAAAAATAAGAGTGTCTACACCTTTATTTCTGCGGTTCTATCAGGCATCCATGGCTCCTCTGATCCTTCCCCTGCTTGGTCTCACCCAAGATGGCATGAGCATCTTGGATTATCTAGCAATGGATTTCTTGCTTCTGCTACAAATTCCCCTAGCTATAAGCCTTCCGACCTTCTAAATATCCCTTTATGTGTGGTTCAGTGTTCTGGCATCATCCCCCAAGCCTGCTTGGTTCGGTATTGTGTTGTTTCTGATGGAGCTCCTCACTGCATGTCCACCCTCTCTGCCATCTTGTTTGTTCTCTCCCTGAGGCTTTAAATCTCTACAGGAGCAGAAAGCCTCATCTTTCTCCCACAGAACAGCTGGTAGTTTTGAACTGCTAACCATGAGATTAGCAACCTAATTTGTAACCACTATGCTACCAGAGCTCCTTGTGTATACTACAAGATCATTGTCCTCCCCCCATACCTCACCTTCCCCTGCCCCTCAGGTATTTTCTAGAGATCTAGAGTAGTTTAACTGACAAGTTAAGACATGAATTGCAGTTACTGAGCAAAATTTCTGGATTTGTTGTTGTTAGGTGACATCAAGTTGGCTCCAATTCATAGTGACCCTATGCACAACAGAACGAAACACTGTCCTATCTTTGCCATCCTCCCTATTGTTGTTGATACACTTGAACCCAATTGTTGTTGCTGCTACTACTGTGCCAATCCATTTTGTTGGGAGTTTTCCACTTTTTCACGGATCCTCTATTTTACCAAGCTGAAGTCCTTCTTCAAAGACTGGTCCCTCTTGATAACATGTCCGAAGTATGATAGATGAAGTCTGGCCATCCTGGCTTCTAAGGAGCATTCTGGCTGTACTTCCTCCACTGTTCTTCTGACAGTCCACGGTACTTCTAATATTCATTGTCCAACTTTATATGCATATGTGGTCATTGAAATTTCCATAATTTGGATCAGGTGCACCTTTGTCCTCAAACTAATATCTTTGCTCTTGAACAATTTAAAGTGGTCTCATGCAGCAGATTTGTATGATGCAATATATTATTTTATTTCTTGACACCTGCTTGCATGAGTGTGTTTTTTAAGTTTTTGTTGTGAATTGAGTGAAAGTTTACAGGGCAGATCATCAGTTTTACATTCAACAAATCATACACCTTGTGTCATTACAATGATTATAATCCCCTCCATGAACCATCAGTTAACAGTATTTCTCTCTATTCATTTTAGCTCTTTTTTTTTTTAAACACTCAGGCATATATAATAATTTACACCACTAAAGGGCATATTTTGCAAGTCTGCTTCCTGGTCACCAGCTTTTACTCCCTCTCTTCCCATGAATCTAGAGTCTCCAGCCACTCCATCTCTCCATGTCATCGTCTCTGCCGCCACTTCTGGCATCACTGCTTCTCTGGCTAGGGTCCTGCATTCTGCTCTTCTCACTTGATGGTCCCAGGGACCTCCACTCCTAGACTGCAAAATCAGTCACTCCCCTTCTTTTGTTACAAAATATCTACCTTTGCATTTCCGACCCTCACAGTCAGTCCTGATAGCAATTTTCTGCTATTGTACCACAAGAGTCTTATCCCCATCTCCTTTCCTTAGCCTCGTCCCAACTGATTGGAAACCATTCAGTGGAGATTCTACCTTCTCCCACCCTGTCTAGAACTAGGCTCCCTCTTGAAAGCTTGTAAGCCAGTCATTTCTTGTCTTTGTAGCATCCCCCACCCCATTTTGGGCAGCTAATGTTTAAGTTGCCCAACGCTGTCAACCTGTCAACCAAGGGGGTGGGAGTGATCCTCTCTATAAAGATTTGTTCCCTTTTTTGAGCTACTACATCCATAAGTATAGGTAAAGTTCATCAAATTGTAGTGTATTACTTTGTTTTCCCCTCTTCTTTCTTCTTCTAGTCGAGTTCTGATCATCCAGCCATTGAAGCCAGGTCAAGAGGGTACTATCTGCAAGTATGGGTGTTATTGTGCATCTCCCCTTACTTCACATCAGCTGGGCGCTTTGCTCTCCGCTCTAGTCCTCTGTGGCCATGTCACTGCCTCTGGGCCCAGGAGTCCCTGGGTCTTGCCATACTGCTGGCCAACCAGTTCTCCACCTAGGTTCACAGGAGTCTATTGAACATGGTTGGACTTAGCTCCCAACTTCATTGCTGTTTTTCCCCCTCTTCCCCTCATCGGTGACCAATGTGGTCACCAGCCAGACCACATGCCTGCTCGTGTATACCCCTTGAGTCTCAGTCTTGGAAGGGCGCTTGCTCTGAGGGGACCTGACCACTTGATTTGATGGCTTCTGGGCTAACAGCTTTCTTGTTCTAGTAATAGTCAATCAGACTGCCATTATTGTTTTTTATTTTTCCTGACGGTCTTTCTTTCACAAAGTATCTTCTATTCTTCTAGCTGCTCCAGGCTTGTCTGCTTGTCCTTTTAAGTGGAGATTTCCCACCTCAGAAGATTCTGGATGGGGTTCAGGATTCCACTTATAGTCTTATGTAATGCAGAGACTCTGCAGGAAGCCTCCTTCACTGGGCAAGTTGTAGCCACATTTTAGGTATTCCAATTAGTTATAGGCAGAAGACAGACATATAAACTTTCTATGGTGGTATTTCTGGCTATTCCTTTCTCTCCCCTGTGTCTATTTTACTATGGTAGGCAAGAGAAACCAAGATTCAAAAGACAGCCAAGCATCTTGACATTATTCCCCTCTTTTACCCATTCCAACCATGTCAATGAAGAAGTATATTACCAGGCCTTTCTTCTGAGGGACCTCTAGATGGTGTAGACCCACCAGCCTTTTGGTTAGCAGCTAAGTATGTTAACTGTTTTCACCAATAGGGGACTCCATACTTCTTACTAAAAGCCCTACATTTCTAATAGTTTATCTAAATAATGTCATACATGAAATAGATTTCCTTTATTTTATTTGTAAAGTGTCTGGTGGCACAATGGTTAGGCACTAGGCTGCTAACCAAAAGGAACTCACCAGCTGTTTCACAGTAGAAAAGACCTGATGATCTGCTCTCATAAATATTTTAGCCAAGTCAATTGTGACTCATAGTGACCCAACAGGATAAAACACAACAACAACATTGTGTTTTCTAAAATAAAATAATGCTTGGAAACATTTTCCCCATTTTTGTTATTTAATGATATCATTATGACAACCTTGTGTTGTGGGTATAATAATGAACCCCATTTTATAGGTAGAAAACAAACAGAAGTGAATCCTGTCCAAGTTCACAGAACTAGTTAGTGGCAGAGCCCAAGATTGAATCCAGGCCTATTTGAAATCAAACTGCAAGATCCAGTAGTTGTGTCCAGAAATGTGATCGTGTAAGTGTAGGATGGGGAAGCCATGTCTCAGAAACAGCTTGTGTCAAAGTCCAAGTGACTTTAAATGACAGTGAGTCTACCATGTGAGCTGGTTTTTGAGAAATCATGAACTGTGTTTTCTTTCAGAGAGGTATTAAGGAAGTCTGTGCTAAGTGTGGGAAGCATCCAAGTCCTGGCCCACCTTGTCCTTAGCCCTGTACTTGTGATGTCACACTGCAGAGGGGCTAGTCACCAGTTCAGTGCCTTTAGAAGAGAATGGGGCTTAACACTAGTTCATAAAAAGAGAAGTAGAGAGAAATGGGTGTATTTAGTTCAAAGAAGAGGTAATATGGGAAATAAAGCCTTTAAATGTTTAAACCATTGATAATGGACACCTGTATTTTGTGTTGCTTTAGGAAAGAAAATTAGTAACTCCTGCATGGAACTTACAAGGCGCATTTAGACCCAATTGAAGTCCAAACTTCTTAGTGGTGGTGGTTGTTGTGTGCCTTGAAGTCACTTTCTTTTACACAGTGTAGAGTTGCTACCATAGGGTTTCTAAGGCTGCAGATCTTTATGGCAATGAGCCCTGGTGGCACTGTGGTTAAGCATGTGGTTGGCAGTTTGAACCCACCAGCTGCTTCCCAGAAGAAAGATGTGGCAGTCTGCTTCCGTAAAGATTTACAACTTGGAAATGCTTCAGAGCAGTTCTGCTTTGACCTATAGGATCACCATAAGTCACAATCAACTGTTTTAGCTCTTTTTTTTTTTTTTTTAAACTCTCAGCCACATCTATCTTCTGCAGAGTGGCTGGTGGGTTCAAACTGTCAAACTTTTATTAGCCACTATGCTACTAGAGCTCTTTTCTCAGCAGTTAGAATTACCACAAGAGTACTGTCCTCGTGGAGCAGAAGGTTCTCAAGCTAAGGCTAGTGGAGGTCGTCAGACCAAAGCCAAATGATTATTTCTCTCAAGATGAGGTAGACTCTCACCCCAGACTAAATTACTTCTGAGGTTTCTTCTAGCCCCTTCAGTCTATGATTTACATAAGTATGGAATCAAGTATTTGATTTTAATGAATCCCACACACAAAAAATACAGTGATTTTAAAAGTAGTGTATTTATTTTTAAAGGGAACTGCAATTGGATACCGTTATGATTCTGAAGTTTGTAATCCTTTTTATATGAAGAAAAAGGACTCAAAATGTGGGAAGGTAGAGTGTGTTGTTCACTTTTATTTACTTATTCCTAGAAGTCCTGGGGTTTGGGCTAGCCTAGTCATTTTAGAAGCCTTACAGATAGCCTCTATTCATTAAGTAAAAAAGTAAAAGCATCCTCTCTGCCTTTTAGACTGTGGTGGTGGGTGTCTGCCTTGGAGTTGGTTCCATCTCATAGTGACCCTGTGTAGGATTTCTGAGGCTGTAAATCTTTGTTGTTGTTGTTGTTGTTGTTGTTATGTGCCGTAGAGTCGGTTCTGACTCATAGAGCGACCCTGTACAGGGTTTCCGAGGTTGTTAATCTTTATGGGAGCAGAATGCCTCATCTTTCTCCCGCGGAGCAGCTGGTAGTTTCGAACTGCTGACCTTGAGGTTCGCATCCCAACCTGTAACTCACTAGGCTACCAGGGCTCCTTGCCTTAAGACTAGGAACCCAAAATAACTAAGACTGCTGGAAAATTTATACCATGTGACCATGGCACACGTGTGTGATCATCTGCTCACTCACTCCATTCAGTAAATCTGAAGTACAAGGGGAGAGAAATGTGGGTAGTGAAGACAATGGCGGCTGACAGGTGTGTCGGAGGCGGCAGGGCAGGGGGCCCTGGCAGGGAAAGTGCCTTCCTACCATGGGTCTGAGGAGGATGTCAGGAAAGGTTGCCCAGAAGAGCTAGTAGTTGAATGAACAAGGCTTCAGATTTTTAAACTGTCCATACATAAGTCAATATTTAGAGATGCAGGTTTCAGTTTTACTCCTATGCAATTGAAGTTACAACCTGATGCTTTAATTAAGAAAAAACAGAAACAAATGTGGCTCTAAAGAGAGAAGTAGTTTGTTTTGCTTCTCTCAGAAGACCAAGCCAGATCATCATTATGAAGATTAAAAAGCTATTTCCATTTCAGAGATAATCTTACTGAGTAGGGCGTTTGTGGCAGCAACATCATTTATGCTACCTCATTGATTCAGTAATTATGTACCTAGTTGTTGGTTCCAGCACTGGGAGATAAAGAAGGGAGAAAATGGTCCCACTGTTGAAAGCTTACGGTCAGGCTGGGGGAAGAAAAAATGTTTCTCAATAGCCTTTGTACTCCCCTGCCCTTTACACACACTCATACAAATATTCACCTAGCAAGTTCTCACACATCTTTCAAGACCAGTTGTTACCTTCCCCAGAAGGCCTTCTTCCCCCTAGGCTGGTCTATGAGCCTGCACTGTGAGCCTAAAGACTCCTGAGCTGACTCCACTCTTAATGAGACTGTTACTTGCCTGTTCTACTAGACAGAGAGATCCTGGAGGACAGGAACTAGACCAGATATGGCATGTATTGCAGTCAGCAAGTATTTGTTAACTGACACAGTGATAGCAGTAGAACTCTGAAGAGAAACATGTCTCTTCTATTTGGGTCAACCTCCCTCCATTATTCAAATTTATGCACCAACAACCACTAAAGTCAGCGATAATGAAATTGAAGAATTTGAATATGTGGTCAATTTCTTTTAAATTTTAAGGAGATCTGTGAGCATGCGTAGTAGAACCCTCCGAGGGTGGGGCTGAGGTGCCCACTAGCTCAGGTACCCCTATAGTCACAGAAATGGAGGTGTGAAGACTGCAAGGAACCAATGAACAGCTACCAAAAGAAAAGAATGTACACACCTTTATCTCTGCGGTTCTGCCAGGCATCTGTGGCCGCTCCGATCCTTCCCCCTCTTGGTCTCACCCAAGATGGCGGCTCCTGGAACAGCTGAGCGTCCTGGACTAGAAAGCAATAGATTTCTTGCTTCTGCCACAAACTCCCCCAGCTGTAAGCCTTCCAACCTTCTAAATATTCCTTTATATGTGGTTCAGAGTTCTGGGACTATCCCCTGATTCTATTTGGTTGGGTATTCTGTATTGTTGCTGATGGAGTTCTTCCCCGGACTTCCACTCGATCCACCATCTTGTTTGTTCTCGTGATCAGTTTCTTTTAGACTGAAGAAGTTGGTCATTAGTCATTGAGTCAGTTCAGACTCACAGTGATGCTGTATAGGGTTTCCAAGGAACAGATCCTCTCTATGAGTTGGAATGGACTCAGTGACACTTAACAACAACAACCACCAACTTCTTCAGTCTGAAATAAACTGATAACATATGCAATGATAATTACTAGTAATTAGAAGGTGAAGGTTGGAAACAAAGAGGAAAATATGGCCTTAGTGATAGAAATGATGTTGGAGGCTACATGATAGAATTCTGTAAGACCAATGACTTATTCAATGACATATCCTTTCAAAAGTAATATAAACGGGAACTATACACCTGGGCCTCACCAAATGGAACACACAGGAATTAATTTGACTACATCTATGGAAAGTGATGGTGGAGAAGCTTAATATCATTATCCATATATATTGATCCCACCTGAATTTAGAGACCATCTCAAGAACAGATTTAAAGCATCAGACACTAATGATCAAAGGCCAGAAAAGTTGTGGGATGACATTAAGAACATCACACAGAAAGAAAGCAAAGGTCTTTAAAAAGACTGGGAAGTGTCCTTTTGATATTTAAAAGAGTATATATATATTTATATATTTTTGTGTGTGTACATAGAAAAAGGGGATGTCAGATAGAGGTAAATACTGTTAACTGAAAGGAGCTCTGGTAGCACAGTGGTTATGAATCGGACTGCGAACCTCAAGGTCAGCAGTTCAAAACTACCAGCTGTTCCGTGGGAGAAAGATGAGACTTTCTGCTCTCGTTAAGATTTACAGTCTCGGAAACCCTGTACAGGGTTTCTATGAGTCAGAACCAACTCCACAGCACATGACCACCACTACCGCCACTGTTAACTGATGGTACATGAAGGGATTTGTAATCATTGCAATGAAATGAAGTATGATTTGTTGAATGTAAAACTGATCATCTGTCCTGTAGAGTTTCACTCAATTCACAATAAAAACTTTTTTTAAAAAAAGGGGGGGTGGGAAGAAAATACCAAAACGGATGTCAGAAGAGACTCTGAAACTTGCTCTTAAGCATAGAGGAAGACCCCCCAATGAGATGTTTGACACAGTGGCAGCAGTCAAATGTAACAACAAATTGTGAGGATGGCATAGGACTGTTGTGCATAGGGTCGCTGTGAGTAGGAACCAACTTGACGTCACCTAACAAATACAATGATACTTCATGCAACCATGTAAGGCTCAGTGAGGTATCCTAATGCGTGCAGGAGCTACTCACCCTTCCAGGACTCTGTGGATTGACAGTAATTATGGGACTTATTCTTGGCTGTTGAGGTATAATAAGGCCATACTTGCATGCGTAAAGCAGATTTTCAAAGCTTGGTATTCAAAACTGCACTCAAATTCTCAACAGTCTCATTTTCTCTAGGTTTTCATCCCACCGTCAACTGATCCTATGTTTCCAAGGCAGCAAGATGAAGAGAATCGAGCTGTTCAATGTGAAACAGGTGCTTTGGGATCACTGGGCTTCATTTTTAGAGACTGCTGACTGTCACGATGATTTTTTGCTCTAGAGCTATGGCAGTTGACGTTACAAGTGTTGACTGAGATTTCTTATCTCCCTGCAGGAAAAATATATTCCATAACAGAATTTAAAGAAATGGAGAAGGCTAAATTGCATGTTAGCCTGCCTTGGTTCTCATTCACTCTACACAGTGTGATTCCACAAGAAAGGTGGAAAGACTCTGCGAGACCCATGAACAGTAAAACGGGTAGTAGTACATGCAGGTAAATGTGAACGGATCCCAGGACTGATAACAGAGAAATCTACACGTAATTTGCACTTGAATTTAATTTCTAATACAGAATTTTGGGGGCCCTGGTGTGGTGTTATAGGTTAAGCACTGGACTGCTAACTGCAATGTCAGCAGTTTAAACCCACCAACCAGTCCTCAGAAACCCTATACAGGCTTGATAAGAGTTGAGACCAATTCCACAACATGTTAACAACAGTAATAACAGACCCTCTGAGTAATCACTGTTTATTTTAGTGATTTAGTCTTGTTATTACAACTATGGAGTGATGCTGTAGGATAAGCTCTGGACTGCTAACCACAAGGTTGGTGGTTCAAATCCACCAGCCACTCCTTTGAAACACTATACAGAATCACTATGAATCTGAACTGACTTGACAGCACTCAACAACAACACTATTAGTATATTCACTTTTGTATTATGAAAAATTTACAACACAAACAGTAAGACATAAACATACAGTTTCACAAATTGCTAAGCAGAGAGCCAAACCCACTGCTGTAGAGTTGATTCCAGCTCGTTGTGACCCTTTTAGACAGGATAGGACTGCTCCTCAAGGCTTCCAAGGCTGTAAATCTTTATGGATGCAGACAGCCTCATCATTCCCTGTGCATTTGAATCACTGGCCTTGTGGTTAGCAGCCCAATGCTGAACCCACAGCACCAATAGGCCTTCTCCTGTGAAATCACCAACCAGATGAGAACAGACTCGGCCCCTCCTGATGGCAGTCCCCACTTCCCCAGAGCTGACTTCACTTTTACAAGTATTCACTTCCTTGTTTTCCTGAAGTTTGTAAGACCCTTTTTCATCTTTAAACAATATAATTTTTCTTGCCTATTTTTGAACTTCATATAAATGGACTCTTACTATGTATATATTGGTGACTGACTTTAAAAAAACAACACATCTTTATTAAGCTATAATTTAAATGCCACTGTTGTTATTAAGTGCCATTGAGTCACTTCTGACTCATAGTAACCCTGTATAGGGTTTCTGAGGAGCTACTGATGCGTTTGAACCACCGATCTTAA